ATAATGTAACTGTAGAAATGTAACACAAACTGTTGCATTACTCACCATACTTAGCATACCCAAATACCTGTTCATGAATGTGCAGTTATGCATGTAGATACATGTCCGAAAAATGTCAAGGTGCATAAAATCGTTGGAATCTGTTTATATATGTAATCTACAGTTCTATATTTCATGTTATAATAAAAGAACTGAATTATCTCAGCAACCTACAGGAACAGTTTCTGCAGTGACCATTTAGTATCCTGTTTGAAAATAATCATTCCAAGCTTACTATGCAAATAAAGAAACAAGCTACATTCACAGGATTGCTCCGACATTTGTAGAGGTTCTGTTGTGTAGGAAGTGTTGTTACAACAGAAGTTACAAGTGCTAAACATACTTGCTTAATGATTTCATCTGATGAATCGCGACATTCATTCTCATATAGTCAACAACATACTTGTTGAGGGGAACACATAGGTATAACTTACATAGATTCTATCTATTAGTACATTTTGTATACATATACTTATAGATAGATATTTAAACTTCGGAAAAGTTCAAAATCCTGTCTTTCTTTTTTCTACATCCATCATGCCTCCTGATTTAATCAAGACTTAATTTGTAAAACAGATAAAATGTGCGGTATTTGAAATGGCAGAAAGATTGGTTTTCACTTTCCTTGTAACAAAAATCAATACAATATTGAACAAAAATAATACAGATTGATGCATCATAATAAAGATGATTTCATTACAATTGTACTCATCCACACTATCTATGTTTATTAGACATGTCAATTCAAAAGAAATTGATATTCAAATAGTTGTCTAATGTAGGATTCAAATAGTATGTAACACAGGGCAGTCATTACATACATGGCCCAGTGTACTGTACTAGTGAAGTTTACCAACACAGAACTGAACACTATACCTACTGTGGCTTGATGTCAGCAAAGTAATTATCAAAACATAAAACTAGATAACTGAAAATATTACTGTAAGAAATAACATTAATTTCTATTCCTATGAACTCAGATTTGAAAATAAGAATATAATACAAAAATACTACAAAAACATGTCAGTGGAAATGGATATATGTGAAAACACAAATAAATCCTCTCATATTTCCAAATTCAAGAAAAAAATAAGAATTGTTAATAAAACGTATAGAAGATGTTTTTAATAATTGTTATAGCTGTGAATGAAAACTGCTTTTGAAATACTTGGTCATACAAAAATTGGCGAAGAATTTCTTTCACAATGTTTCCACAGGTTCATCACTATTCACCAATTTAGTAATCTTCCAAACAATGACACCTAACAATATGGATATTTTGGAATATTTTTCTTCAGGTTGGCAATGTCAATTGAAGTTCTTATAACAAAACCAGTAGAAGATTAGATTGTGACATTTCGATGACTACACTTTCATCTGACAAATGACCAGTGTAAAGTGCACTAGCACTGATGTACGTAGTGTACAAGATGGTATGAAATCGACCAACTTTTTGGCTGTACTATATAATCCTATGTACACTAAGGGCAAAAATAGTGTGACAAGATGGTTAACCAATTATGGACAAAAGATACACCAGATGGTAACAATGTACTGTAGTCAGTTTGGCTATGCATTGTTTAACAATTGGCCATAGATGTGCGAGAGTCTTTGGCCCCCTTCATCCCTATTAAGTACTGGCCCACTGTGTACACCGGTGCTTGTACGTTCCAAACTGGTCGTTTGTCTGATAAAGGTGATTGTGTTGTCATTGAAACTTCGCAATCTAATCTTCTATTGGTTGTGTTATAAGGACTTCTATTATTATATGAACATTTGTTAACATCCTTAATATTTAAAGATATAGTTGATGAACACATTTGAACATCACATGAATCAGAAAGTCAACTTTACTTGTAGCAAATGATTACATTGATTGAATAATGAAGAACATACCTAACAGAAAAAATTAAAGGATTTCAAAGCTTGTGCACTTCTCTGGAATTCTAATTTACAAAAAACAAACAAGACTTAAAATTATGATCAATATCATATGGGGAGATAAGCAAGTACAACAATGAAGCAGACAACTCTTTTAAAGTATGGAGCTGATAACAGAAAACCAATCTATAGGCATGTAGTCGCAGTCCTTCCAGTATTAATTTAGAGTAGTTTAAACATATTTCATTACCAATAAAAAGCAAAAGGATCAGGCACAAATTACATGAACTTACAATGGAAAGCTCTCAAAGTTTCAGTTAGGAAAAAGGTTGATACCTTATACACCTACTTCCCCCGACTACTAAATTCCTGACATCCTGTTAGACTTTTATATGAAGAAGTATCCTGTTCGTAGCAATGCTACAGCATTTCAACGATATCAAATCATAAGACACAATAGATATCATGTCAGTTTCTCATTTGCTTATATGTAAAGGCCAATGATGGCAATGTCAGTTCATGTAGCGCTCATACAACATGGAATTCACTGATGGCATCACAAAGCATAACTATGATTCTGTAAATCAATGAAATACATGTGGTTTCATTACAATGAAATAGAAGTGATATCAGACAACTGACAGAGTACTTCACACTTTAGAGAGTGAAGCAGCTCTCTGAAAAAATGAAATGGTACTGTAAAGTCATTTATTTTCAAGGGGCTAAATTTTTTGTGGTTTTTCCCGAAAAAAATCTTCATTTTCATGGACACTTGATTTTATATTGATCAACAAATCTACTTACCCTAATTTAACAGTACATGGACATATGAATTCCTGGATTATCGAATTCAACAAATAGCCCCGAATAAAAATTAACGATTTTACAGTATTTGTTCTCTACTTTTCATGGTAAAGTACATACTATGATCACCATATAGCAGTCCATTAAATTGTTAACAAGATTTTTTCAGGCAAGTCCAGAACAGAACAAAACCAATTTGCAATATTAAGAAAAATTAATATAATGGTAGTGCAGGTGCAATTTTTTTATATACCTGTTGCTTTTTATACGTCAAATTACCTTTATTATAAGCTTTAACTTACATCTGCAAAAGTATTAACAACAATTTACAGTACATCTGATAAATTCTTAATCAATCAGACATCCTTGAATTTACCATCTTTTAATTTACCAAATTTTCTTTGTTAATCACTGTATGATTCATTTTCATTTTCATTAAAATCTGAAAATTTAACATTGCTGACTTTTATAGGCTATAAACAAACAACCAAGCTGTGACCTAATGAGCTAATGTATAAAAATCTGTACATCAGGCCAATGAATATCAACTCAGGTCAGTTTTACTATTTTTGGCAATTCCTTTTTATGTTTTTTCTATTTCTTTGCTTGAAATAATAACTCCCAAAGATAACAATGTTGTCCTCTGTAAACCTGGAACTTCATAAGATTTAATGCCGAAATATCCAGTCTAAGCAGAGATGTATATAACACATAGATAAGAAACGCCTTCTTGAGCTTTCATTGGTCACACATGACCAGATGTCTAATTGTATCTGTTTATACAATGTTCCGTTTATCCAAATGTAGCGACCTATGCCATATTGTATACACCATATTGGATATATAATTTACTTCCAGCCGTTCTGTGAGTGATTTTTAAGATAGAGTCACAACATAAATATGCAAAGCATTTTAGGAAGTAAATGTTTAATGTAATACACAACGTTTATCCTGCGATATCTTTTTAATGTCGATGAGTTATGATTTGTTGTTTTTACAGATTAATTCTTTGAAAATATATCAAATTTCTGTAGATCCAATGTATGTTTTTTTTTATAAAGAAGGATATCCTTCTTGACAACATTGTGATACACCTTCAATGAAATTTACTAAGTAAGAAGAGAAAAGTCAGTATTTTCACAACAAAGTTGTATTTAATACGGTGGCTTTCGACTTGTGCCACTAATCTTGACTTCGGATTAATACAAGTTCCGTCTTCTGTTCAATATTCTGTTTTTAGATGATTTTTAAATTTCAATAGCTAAGACAATATTTGACTCAGAATACCAATATTGATGTAAAATGTCACTGATATCATTTGATAACCAAGCTGTGAAACAACTGTAATTTCATTACAAACTTTTCTTACATGGCCACTGGCAGTGTGCATGTTATCTGTGCCGTTCTCGGCTTTAGGGTAATAGCTCTTCCTGTTGCTTGTTCATCTAAAACTGATTGTAAAGTTTTAATAAATCAATCACTCGCCTCAACTCTCAAAAAATTTCGAGTTTGATACATTTCCTTCCTGAAGACAACAGAATCATGCGTGATCTTTTGAGAACTGCATGCAGTAGTTGCCAATCTCTGTGTTATATACGTCTCTGGTCTAAGTCTGTGAATTTAGCTACTTAGTCATAAGCAATCATGAATGTCATTGCAGGTATACATAAGAACAACTATGTAAATGTTGTAATTGTTTCAATCATTCTGAATGAAGCACAACAAGTTAAACCAAGAATACACTGGATATTAAAATTTGTCTCTTTTCATCTGGCACATAACTTTGCTACTTTTATAGACATATTAGACACACACACTTATGCACATTTTATACCATCATTTATCCCAATGTTTAATTTTTTATAATCTTATACATCTAATGTTTTTGGGTATGGACAATGGAAACTAACTTGGTCAAAATGACTCGATGAACAGACTAAGAATGTCTTTTTCAGAAGTTGAATATCACTTTTCAAGAAATGTATGTGACTTACTCTGAATAAGTCATAAAAATTGTATTCTTTTAATACCCCTTTCAATGTTCATTTTTCACAAAACAAATGTTGTGGCGAGCAAGAACACAATTATTACAAAAAAAGTAATTTTCTTAAGTCAAAAAGGAAGATTCCAAACAAATAATTCCCCACGAAGTAATGAAAAAAAAACTTTACGAGTGATGTTCAGAGGCATGACCCACTATCAAATTACTAGTATATCTGGCTATTGTGGGTGTTCTCCTATCTCGGGAGTGTCTTCCACATAAACAATAAACTTACCGTGGTACGCAGCTTTTGAGGATCCACGTACGATATGTTTGTATTCCCGGCTTTTCTCAGGTGCTGGGTCGTGAACCTTGACTAGAATGTATTTGAACTTGCCCGTGTCAATTTCGACATCGGGGATGGTTTTTAGAAGGCAGTTTTTAGCAGCACCGGGCGATGCTGTAGCTACTGGGTTTACTCCTGCCATAATGGAATATGTTAAGACGAAGTAAGTTCTGCTGTGATGTCTGGAAAGAACTGTATACACTAGAAAGATGAGTTCAGAAAGGACACGTAGGGAATCGAGAACTCTTCAGAAGGGAAACCGTCTTCATTCGCTGTTTCTCTGACAAACAATGTTATTACACTTCGAACGTAAATAAAGTCACTCTAGCTAGATTTCACATGGAATGGGCATGGCAAAATTCCAAACAAAAGTGGTGAACTTCCTCCGCTGTCTGATACTGCTGCTGCCTGCCTGGTGTTTATTACGCGCATCTTGCACATGGAATCAACACGAGGCGATATCGGAGTTTCCAGTATTTGCGTTAATTTGATTGGCTTAGCTGTATCGGGGATATCCTTATAATTTTGGGGCTCACCAAAGGATAATGCAAAACGAGGCATTATTTTGAAGGTGTGCTGTGATCATATTTAAATTTAAAACGTACATATTCCGAAGATTTTGCTTAACAGATATGGTTCTCCCTATACAATTGTATACACTAACTGTGACCGAATAGTTTACGTCTCAAAACCAGCAAGAAAATACCAATACCAATATGTTTACATAATTACTATATAAACTTAAATTAATAAAATGAGATTGGGCAAAATATTAACAGAATAAAGATTTACACGGAGAATCCCGAAAAACAACCAAGAAGCATAATAAGATCAGGTATTCCAGAATAAACCTCTTCTACTTCATCGACGACATCCTTTATGATCAATCCAACTAAGTAATGCCACGTTTATGTATACAAGATATACCACACACCAACTCCATATGAATGAAAGAATGGATCGGAACTATTACATGTATGTATAACATATTATTTTTTCCAAAGACCAACATTTATATTAAGGGATATCTGCTTAAAAACTAACCAAAGTTATCCCAATATACGACCTACCTGTAACTGGCTTCAGTATAATATATCTACTTAGTCATACTTGTATTTTCTTCTGGTTGACCCTGATCTACCATACTTCTTGCCATACTAGTTAGTATTGAATCTTGTGACAGTCTAACAGCTGACGAGCAAATTTGTCAACTCCAACAATATTGCTTCCTATAGAAAGTACATGGTTTTTGAGAACAGGAGAGGAATTGAGATGAACCGTGAGGGTGCGGATGCGCTCCCTTCAAATCCGCTAGTGATGAAATTAGCAAACAATTGTTCTAGAAAAGAACAATTTATGAAAGACAACGGTAAATGAAAATTTGAAATCATTACCAATCCTACAATCTTGAATTATTTCGTCATGTGGAATTGGCATTCGTGAACAAGTGACTGTGAATGCTTTCGGTCAATATATTTACCTCTGAAAGTCTTTGCAGTTTAATCTAGCCAACAACTAAATTTCATCAAAACAGATGACTGTATTTCATAATTCAAGCTTTAACTGTTATACAAAATGTAATCGTCTGTCGACTAGATTGTTAATGAATATTTTGTTGTATCGTTTTACAACAATTGCGAAACAAGTTATTCCAACTTATACTAATCACTCTTGTTTGGCCGGATGTTAACGAGCGAGGGGTTTTATTGGGGGAGGAAACCGGAATGCCCAGAGAAAATTAACATGGCAGGGCTGAGGTGATCCCTTGCCTTTTCAAGTCCGTTCCGGGAATCGAACCCCAGATGGATAGTTTAAAAGTGATAATAATGTTCTTCATATACGGAAAAAAGCACACACCCACACACACAGAAAGAAAGACAGAAAAAACCCACTGTTGTCAATCAAGTCGTTCACACTTAAGAAATATGTACAAACAATTTGAGAAATCCCAATAAATGTATTAAACAAATCTTGACCATGAAAAGTAACACCCTCCACATATAATTCGTATTCACAACAATGACGTCTCTTTCGATTGCGTTGAATTTTCCTCGGTCGTCTCTTAGGTTTCAAGATTTATGTCCTTAGCATCACTAACGAGTCCCACAAGGACGAAACAGCTGAACGATGCAGTTTAATTCTTTGTTTGGGTCAGAACGAAATTGTTTTCGTGGAAGGTTTTGACTGTGATGCATATAATCAATGCTTACTATAAACATTTCATCATCTGCTATTTTCAATAAGAAAATATCACCTGTACCACGTGTCTTACCGAGATATCTGACTGTTGGCAATATATTTCTCTCTGTTCTCCTTGCGCGAATTAGACATAACTGCAGTGGCCTGAAGAGTAATTTGTTCCGTGTAGGTATCTGTGACACACCTGAATGTTATTGCAATGATGGTAATGAAGATGGTATCATTATTTTTTTGTCTGTTCAGTTTTCCGTCCCCTGTCTGAGATTATTTGATGCTCTTTCTAACATTGGTATTCAGCCTGTCCCCCAACTACAACTACTGATATGGGGAGATGCAGACCTTTCCTTCCAAATAAATATTTATAAAATCATAAAAGAGATTTGAAACCAATTAGTGGACAATCAGTGCAACCAGAACTCTTTTCTTTTCTTCAGGTCCCACCCTTCTTTCTTCTTCTTTCCCCACCCACCCTATTTTTCTTTATTGTTATGAACTGAAATAGTAAATTGTCTTTGTGTAGATATTGTATGTTCCTGCCATCACGTGCTATATATATTTAATCATTTGTGTTGTATTTTCGGGAGAAGGCCTAGTAAGTTGTAAGAACTTGTATAATCCTTTTGTTTATTTATCAATTAAATATGTTTGAATGAATGAATGAATATACATATACATATACATATACATATACATATAATTATACGGGGTGTTCTCTGAATGCCCACATTTTTTTAACAATAGGTAGGTGTTGTTTCAAGGAACAATGGGATGGCAGTTATATACTGTTTCATATAAGCTGTATATGTACCTGAGATTTACCTGTGTTTTACACAGTATAGACATTGGCTAGACCACCCAGTCTGTTTTCAACAAACGTCAGGTTAATCTGAGCATTAGCCATTCTACAAGTGAAGATGTGTTGGGGAAAAATCAGATGCAATCAATAAAGAAAGTGAAATCTGAGTGAACAATTATTTGAAAAGGCCTGGCTTTATACTTCCATGTACCAGCTTGGATACTCACCTCAAAGTTTCATGTAGCAGTGGTATCACTCCTCTATTGAATACATACTCAAGGAGACAGCTTCCATACATGAAAGTGATCACGGTTCATAACGGGATAGTGAATATGTGATCAGAGTAGGTAATTAAAACAATACCTAATCACTAGTAAGATTACTTTCAACTGCTCAAAATAAATAAGTTTGGATCATGGTTACTCACATATAATATTCACATAGAAACATAAATCTTTATACATCTCTGATCTGATGTAGACTTTATTATCATGCACATAAAATTAAACATTTTGTGTATTAAAGACAGTAAAGACATACAAAAGTACAAACATAAAATAAAAGTGTAAATTTATCAAAGTATTGGACATTTTGTGTATTACTACATAAAATAAATACATGTAATAAAAAGAAAAAAAATATAGATAGATATAAAATTAAAGGTGGGTAAAGGCTATCAACTATACATTGTATATCAGACTATCAACTGATCATTTTACAGGTAAATTTACCTGTTGGCACTGAGACCCAATTTAAGAAAGACTATAATCACTATCAAAACAAAACTGCCCTGAGGGACTTTCAAAATGTGGGCATTCAGAGATACACCCAATTAAACACACTGCAAAGCCTGGAGTGGGGGGCTGGATGTTGTTTCGGGCATAGGATAATTATTCGCGGGATTTCCCACATAGGACATGGGCGACAAGTTTTATCATAATGATATTTATTTTTATTGATTAAGTGAAACATTTGTGGCACCTGGCCGATATTAACGTTTAAATTGACTAACTGTCCATTTAAGGATTTTTTTTCTATCATTATTATTGAAGAACATCGCTTGTCAGTCACATCTCATTTAAGTGTAGACTTATCTGGATTTCGCCGTTGATGTATTCTACTAACAAAATGTGTCAAAACATCTGAGATTCCTAAACATTTTTACTGTATATACCTTAACTAGTAAAAAGAATACGAGGTGCTCCGACACAAGTTCAAACTTCAACACGTTTCCTTCCCATTACATTATCTCGTTTAGAAAATGCTGCGGACAAACTTTATTTTAAAAATCGACAAAGATGGACCCGGTCCCAAATGTTAAAATCCTTGATCGACGCTCGCCTTTCTGCGATACGTTTAGTACGTGCATGTGCATGAGTCATGACTTCAAGTCTTTAATAGTGTATAAAATTTAATCTGATTTCAATTCTGTCCTGCGCCAGATGATTGGGTAGAAATTTCTCCTTACAGAATATCTCCATTTTTCAGCGATCTGATTATAAAAAAAAATTCCGTTTGTAAACACGAAGGTTTCAGGATCAAAAGAGGAGTGGAATGAAATTCACAGCACAGCATAAGTGTTCGTGTAAAAGCATGAAGAACAGAGTTCTTAAGCTTTCAAAATATAAACCATGAATATGTACCAATTGTACAATGCCTATATATAATCTTCCCATCTTGAAAATAATAACCCGGACTTCCATCAGACGTATCCCTTGGAACAAAACAAGATATTGTCCAACCAGCTTCTATGACCAGCAATAACTCTCGAATAATGTTTTCCTAATTCCACTTCATGTCGCTTGGTCGCATCAAGGTCGCTTGACGTCACGTCGATGTCACTATTACTACAAATGGAAAATAAGTGTGTGGCGATTTATCTCAGACTAGTGCATATTGTTTCTTTCTTACGATAGTAACTGCTTCTCTCCGAATAAGATTTTGTTTCGCAATGCCACCTCTGAATTGTGAAAACTTGTGTTTATCACCCCGTAAACAACCAGGGTCATTTTGAGACAGTGTCTCCTATAAAGTAGCTGGTTCCTACCTCACTGAATACCATACGGGATATCTGTCGCATGCCATCCAGTGCAGGCACAACCATGTCAGCACAGACTGGTACCTTACTCAGCTTTACGAGAAACACCCATCATTACGGGTTGAGAGCGTCGACTCTATATAACCGACTGTTGCTCTCGTGTGTGTAACATAAAATGACGTAGTATTGTAAGAGATATCTAACAAAAAAAAATAATAAAACAAAAATGCTTTAATGCTTTTATTAACCTAACGGCTCTGGATGGATTCCCCTTTCAGTCGTGAAAAGGTATGGGGTCACCTGTCTGACTACACAGGTTCAGCGGCTGTGAGACCATGCATCAAAGAGTGATTTTCGTAATTGCATGAAAATACATAATACAGTTTAATACATTGTATTTAATATACAAATAAGTAGAGTACAGTAAGAATTTCGAACTTTCTACGTATTTTTCAATACCCGCTGCCGAAAGTCACGCGATTTTTACTCCGCACCTTCAGAAAATTCCTTCAGTGCGGCAGTGTCTATCGGATCCACAGAGCTGCAAGTCATAGCTTGTTAAAGGGAGGCAACACTTTTATATAGATAAAATCATCAGTCCTTCGCTTGTTGATTAAAAATAATCTCATGACATGACAGTCCACTTTCGTTGTATGTGTACAATTTGTAGCCTTGATGTGCTTTAAATTTAATTATCAAATTTCTTTTTACCAACGTTGATATTTTAGTAGATTCAATTAGGTCTTCAACGGTTGAGCTTTTGAGATGAAGATATGTGATGTATACTTAACATAAAGTACACAAAGATATTTTCGCTTATTATCGATATATTGTAAGTGTTAGAAACTGAAATGGATGAAATATAATCATTGCCATACTTTTTACATTAGAGTTATTTATCAGCGGAGTGCCACTCTGGGAGCTAACAACTGGCAAGGTCTGATGTTTTATGTTACAAATCTGTCAAAACAGGTACTGGTTTCACCAGATAACATTTTTGTGAACAACATTTTCAGCTAAGAACAATTAGTTTATAATTTTGACGTTTATTAAAAACTTTCCCCAAAAGGGCCCAAGACTAAGTAAATTTGGCCCCTAGATATTAGTTCATGCTCCTACTCATTTCAAACTAATAACATTTTCTTGATGTCTTAAAAAAGATCATCATTAAAGAAAAAGAAATAAATAAAAAACTTCACATTGACATTTGATGCTGTGGCCATCATTATTTACCAGGTGACTTGTCTATTCATTTCAATGGACTTTGCTTCTGAATGTTCTAATTGTATACATGTACAGTGTTAAATACAAAATTTAACCTTGACCTGGTAACTTGACATTATACTTCAGTCAACTTTTCTTAAAAAAAATTGTCATACAATGTAACAAAATATTTAAAGAAATGCTGAAGACTATATTGACATACTATAGTGTATCCTCAAGCAGGCATGTAGGTTATCAAGGTACAATGGTATGTGTTCAGTTTTTTCCAGATATCCGACACAGGTAAGATATAGCTAGAATGCGTTAAAAATCCACATAATTTTGATTTAGAGGTGTAGGTAAATATGCAAGGAGCTGTGCAGTATATGTTTAAAAAAAAGTTCCCTCAAGATATCTGGAGTGGTTCCAACATTAGTTCTGACCCAGGAAAGAATGTACTTGGTTGTTTACACTTTATATTTGGTCACAGAACCTTTGAGTGATGCAGTTATGTGTCAAGTTTCATCATATTATAAGTTCATTGGTTCAAAAGTTATTGCCCCAAAAAGATTCTGCAATGGAAAAAACAGTGCCAATATTTTTTTTCCGATTTGAACATTTAGGCAACAAAATCAGACCAATGCAAGCTTTTATATGTTACTATTAACTGAAACCACAACCTTCAATTTCTATCTGGCCAGGGCTTTTTGCCAAAATTACATGAGGACTAGTTGCATTTGGATGATAAGAAAAATGCTGCTATTTTACATCAATCCTTTGCTTTACGAGTTAGAAATGTGATAATTCTGAGTAATCTCAAGTCAGGATTGTTATGCGCCTGCTTTCCCATATGTCTTTGAAAGATTTTTACCAACGTGAATTGAACATTCCTCTCTTTTTTCTGTTGTTTAAGTCAATCAATTGCACATTAACTTAATTTTTACTAATATGTTAAAGGAAAATCATCAGACAGGGCAAAAGAAAGACTGGCACACAAGACAAGTGACTAAATGCCAGAATACAATTATTCTACCACTTCTTGGTCTTTGCAGCTTAAGACAAGCCAATTATACATAACCAAGGTTAATGTCAGCTTCAGCGGTAATGAAGCTGGTTTAATCCACTGGTGACTTTAGTTCCACTAAAAAACATTATAGTACATGTGTGTATAGTCAACTCTATTTCAAACAGCTATTTATATTGGTCACACCACAACAACCAGATGCTGTCTGTATATGCACCAACATTTAAGAAGCAAGACAGTGATTGGCTTGAGTTAACAGCATATGTATCTGCATTAGATGAAACAGTTGGACCGTAGTCTAAGTATGAAGTACATAGTCTCAAAATCAAATTACTGTTCTTGAAATTGAAAAAAGCCAAAACAGATGATGCATTGTTTACTCTATGTAATGGTGCTTACAACCAGTGAAAAAAAATTCCCATGGTCTTTCCAGCCATGCAATTCCATTGCCGTCCTTCGAGTCATGTACAACTCAACTGCCGTCCTTCGAGACATGTCCAACTCCACTACCGTCCTTCGAGCCATGTATAACTCCACTGCCCTTCTTTAAGCGATGAACAACTCCATTGATGTGCTAGGAGATTGTAGATGATAGAGACAAAGTTCTCTACACCCACTAATAGTGGATTTGGTGTTTTTATGATTTTAACCATGACCAATACAGTGCCTTATCTTTGTTCAAGAAATACGACTTTGAGATATATTGGTAAACATTAGTTTTGTAAGTTGTACAACACATTCCATACTCTTTTTACCGTCGCTACCAAAAGTGATGTCCAGGTTGGTGCCTCCAGCATGAAGCTTACCCAATGCATGGCTGTAGTCCTCCCTTGGATAAGAGGATAATTTACGACTATGTGGCACTTATAACATCTGTACATTGATATTTATGTGCAGCACTCATCGTATGAAATGTGTTGAAATGTTTTCATTTAATATCTGTTGGGAAATACAATGCAATCGTTCCGTAAAATGACGGGAAGTAAATGGTTCATGCAATAACAGTCACTTTTGTGTTAAATATCTCTCATTTGTTACCTCATTTTTTCGTTACATGTGCACGTTTTATGTTGTTTTTTTTCTATTTGATTTTGACAATGAAGTTTATTCAATTGTATATATCCGATTTTTAAAATGTTTAAATTCTGTCTTTCTCATCATCAATGTCTCAGAAATCGAAAGTAGAATTTGAATATGTCAATTTGTTGTTAGCATAAACAACCTAGCACACACCTTTTAGTCAATTTCCAAGTATTTTGTTATTCCAATAAATGACGAAGTTTGAAACATGTGAAGAATATCATTATTCTATGTTTCAAACTTATTATCTGTAGCAGAAACATTTCACCAGTCGATTCATACATACGACAATGCCTAACTGGCGAGTTAAACAAATGTATTTCATGACATCTCAAGACATAAAAAAGGTAAGAAGGCATGTTTACAGCGATGTTTCAAGACATCATGAAGGAAACGTGAGCACTTTTTTGTGTTGTTTAAGATGTCATAAGTAAGGAACAAGTTAAAGAGGAATGAGAGGTTTTTAAACCATATAAAAAAATAAAGAGTGATCTCCCTTGGGTACTCCCCACGATGTGGATGGTTTATTCACATTTTGAAAGTAAGTCAATAAAGTCTCTGTCTATCTGTTGGACTTGGCAACACGTTCCAACTCATCCTTCTTCTTGATGGCATGGGAGTTTGAAGATCCCTGAAATAACAAATGACATTATAAAAACCAAATAAAAAGAAAGATTCCTTAGACTAAACCCTTAATCAAATGTATTTTATAATTCAGTTTTCTTAATGCTGCATAGTGTTGCTTCCTCTTTTACATAACAGTATTGTAAATCACTTAAATTTCACATCAGTACGTGAGGAGAACCAATTGTGAATCCAAATCTAACACAATTACTTGTATGAATCTCTTAATGATGTCCTTGTTATTAAACTGTCACCTCGCTTTTACTTTGGTTTACACTTCTGCTGAATAATACATACTAAATCATATCAGGAACAAACAAATCTGCCAGACATATGTTACTAAAATGCAAACTTCTTTAGAACACACTGTTTTCCTGACTAGAACTGCAAACCATGGTGTCATTCAAATGTACAACTATGGGTCAGAGGTCGAGCATGTGTGCCACAATAGATAAAATTGTAAGTCCCTGATGCAATTTTTGTGTATTTACAATACCAAAAATTAACATGCAAAATATCTTTTTAATTAAATTACAAAACATGATGCCTTTATGAAACACTATGACCCTGTTTGCATCAAATTCTGAAATAGGACATTAAAACTAAATGTATGCTCAATTTTTCAAATGTAGGTCAAAGGTTCCGGTCAATAATTTTTTGTACCAACAGAAAGTTTTTTCACAAGGAACACTCATGCCAAATATGAAAACCCTATCTCATATTATGCAACAGTTATGGGCAAGGTTAAAGTTTACAACAGACAGACAAAACAGACCACACAAAAACAATATGATCCCTAGGAATCTTTTGATCTTGGTGAATTAAAATTAGACAATTACTGTATAATTAGTGTAAAATTTAACACTGCACTATACTTCTGGTCTATTGAAGTCCTGTCATCATACCCTGAAAACAACTCACTTCACTTTTCAAATATAAAAGCATGTGGAGTGATCACATTCATTTCTTTTGTCTACTAGCCTGGAGTATGGTGAATACAATTCAGTATGCACACAAGACTGAATCACTGTCAAAGTATAGTCACACAGCTCTGATATGGGAATACAATTCAGTATGCACACAAGACTGAATCACTGTCAAAGTATAGTCACACAGCTCTGATATGGGAGTCCCCCCCCCACTCATTCGCGAATTCTAAGTCATTTCTAAAAAGATGTATCTGCAAATATGACAGCAACGGTGAACTCGTAAAATTAAGTATTTGAGAAATCTAATTGATTTACAGTATGTAAAATACAATCAAATCACCTGTTTATTCTTCATTCCATATTTTACATTAAGCCCTCCTAAACCAACCGTAAAAACTCAAAATAAGTTCAAAATGGAGCACTGCCCATAAAGTGCCGATTTTGGATGCTGGGAAAAACTTCCAACTACTACTTTGCCCCATCAACCACCTTATTGTTAGGATGTTACATTTTGATAAGAATTATTTACATAATTTTTTCAGCTATGTATGTTTTTTTGTGTTTTTTTTTTTCTGAAAGAAATCTTCAATACATCTTACACCTGTCCCAATTAACATTGTGGAGCTCCACTCACATTGCAATGTGTTTACCCTCTTGTAACACATGCCTCTTTATTCATCTTCAGATAAATCAAAGATATATTTGGACGATTTTTTTTACTGCTGCTTTACATTCCAAAACAACTTACCTTTGCTGCATTGATGAGCTCATCAGCAAGACATTCTGCGATGGTTTTAATGTTTCTGAAGGAAGCCTCACGGGCACCTGTGCACAGTAACCATATAGCCTGGTTGACTCTACGGAGAGGAGAAACATCCACAGCTTGTCTCCTGACAGTACCAGCACGACCAATACGTGTGGAGTCCTCACGTGGACCGCTGTTAATGATGGCATTTACAAGAACTTGGAGAGGGTTCTAAAATGAAAATGAAATTACATTAGTAAATTACCTGATATTTTTCACAGAATACATTTGGGGAACCAAAGATTTCCCCCTCAACTAATATTCTATGACAACAATCTAGTAAATATCCAACAAACAAGTCAACTCTTAGATTAAGCTGTACATATACTCTATAGACAAACTTTCTTTAGAGTATGATTTTCTTTTGCATACAAAGTAAATTTGGGAAAATGAATCCCTACAAATAAAAACATTGAAAATTAAGACTATTTTCATTGTTTGAAAACACACGCCCATGTATTATTCATGTTGTCTTTTGGAATCTAAATATAAATTGTGCTTACAGCTAGAGCGCATTTCTTATATATACTGTATTGTTAATTTCAGTGCAGAGGACAATTTATTCCTAAGACAGTTAAGTCTTCAATTCTGAAAAGTCTGTGTTTGGAACCTGATAATAGCCGTGTACTTTCAACAACATAGTTAATGAAAATAGGTTTTTGAGTATCAATAGTTTTATTTTTGGTGTTTAATTTTGAGATTTTCCTTCAATAGGGAAGTTTGAAAAACAAAATTGCAAGTGAAATTTTCTGTATTATCAGGCATGTCTCTATCCAAGGATAACGCCAAGAACCAGATCCACCTTGCTTGTAATTCTGAACATGTCACCAAACTATTCACTTCTTTCATAACATCATAATGAAGACATGACATTCTCTGAACCTACTAAAGAAAGAATGTTTAAAACTTGACAATCTATTCATTACAACATTCACTCAGTTACACATCAACTACTCTTTTTTTTCATATTGTATTCCTTACCTCACCAGTCAGCAAATGAATGATTTCAAAAGCATGCTTGACAATCCTCATTGCCATCAGTTTTTTGCCGTTGTTCCGTCCATGCATCATGAGAGAGCAGGTAAGGCGTTCCACAATGGGACATTGTGCCTTCCTAAAACGCTTGACCTGGTAACGGCCGGAGGAGTGAGGCAGATACTTAGCATACTTCTCCTTTACAGCGATATAATCCTGAAGAAGGAAATAAAATACAAAATACAATTAAATTGAGCAGAGTGACTTAAACAAAAGTAGTTTCAAACTGAAATAATGAATTATAACAATAATTCAAATTATTCACTATTAAAATTGAAGATTGGTTGTCACTATTTCAGCATGCTCTTAACTACAGATTACTTCAATTTTTTCCACATCATTTGGATCATCTACATTCCTATTCCTTATGCAACATTTACACTTTTTGAGAATTTCTCGAGATTTAGTTATCAATCATTAATTCAATAAAAGTAAATCTGTATTCATAGAACATCCTTCCCCTCTTTACAATAGAATTGCCATGGATATCTTTAATTCCAATCTATACATCTATATCTACCTAACTGGCTTCAATTATAACAGGGATGAACAATTTAAGAATCTTTTTAACTAGATTAAGGGTACTTGTAATATTTTTCACTACTCCTGGTAATATTTCTAGTTAGGTTTGAATAAAAAACTTTTCAATCTTTTCACCCCTCCTCCTTTTTTTCAATTATTAATACAACATGATGGGTTATGTCCTGGTGACCTTAGTGCCCTCTGTACTTCACAAAATACAAATGGTTTTAATTGACCATTTCACAATTTTAAACCAGCCCCAAGCAATACAATAATGAAACAAACTCACAGTTAAACTGATGTCGCTGACTTGGACATCATCTGAGGACCATTTACCAAAGAGCTTGATCTCTGGAAGCTCGGCAGTAACAGGGGCAGGTTCGTCCCAACTCTCGGCCATGACTGGTTAGTTCTACAGCAATGACAAAATAATAATAATGATATTAAATTTGTTTTTATTGCTAGATGAGCCTAAAAGATACTGAAGAAGACAAAGTGGTAATCTAATCTGTTTATTTGCACTTAGAAGTTCAGCAAAATTACCCAGATGGTCACTAAATTACCACAAACTGCAGACAATACACTATATAAAATCTCAGCATGCTTTCAATGATGAAAATGGGGGCTACATAGTCAGATGATAATGATGACTTCACATTTTTGAAGCCAAATACCTTTGCCATATCGTTAGTTTTCAAACATTCATTGGTGCAATAAATTGAACTCATTTCCATTAGTGTGTTATTTTTAACACATGTGTATGCTCAGATGTTTACCATTTGGACAAAAAAATGACCAATTCTTCATACTTTTTTGACACTGATATCAAAAGTTTAAGTTCCTTAGACAATCTGGTAACTCACACAGGCCCACAACATTCTGTTTAAAAAACTGCACATGCCTATACAAATGTATCCTTATCTGGCATCAACACATGTCATGTGTATTTATTGAGGGCAGAAACTAAATTTCAACATTCATTATTTATGCAAGATGAAAAATTGAGCTATTCTGGAAAATGAAGAGGTCTATAGAAAAAAAGACAGCCCGTTAGGTTCCTTGCATGCAGGTCGTGAACGGAATCAGTTGCCGACTGTCTATGATGTGATGTAGTAGCACATTAGTGTAAAAACAGGAATGTCCATTTACATGTTGACCCATATAAAGTTATATACATATGTAAATGAAAAAAATATCACAAAACAAAAAGAAATATATCGTCAATTTTTTATATAAATAAATAAACCATTTAACTTCTCCGCACTGTGGCTGTTCGTTGGATAAGTGTGCTTTTATTTAAGACAATCTACAACTGAAATGCTTGCTCCAATATGTAGTAGTGATAATTTATAACCTACACATATCTTGGTCATTAGACAGGTACCGCACATAATGTTTAATCACTATTATATATATTGTATATATATTGCTAAAAACAGCTATTCATAGCTGTATCAAACTGATGAAAATCCCCCTTATTTTTAGACAAAAATGGATGTGCACAAAAGCATGACAGTTGGTGACCATTTACTCATCATTATTATTCTGTGATATAATCCATAACTTTTACAGCCACATTAATTTATGTAATAATTTTCAATGTGAATAAACGTATATTTTCAAAATACTGATGCAAATAACATCTTGCATTTTGTAAAAACCACCAACATTATCATCTCTATTATCCATATCTGATGTGGCAAAAAAATGGCCATCGTTAAATTCATAATAATATGACATTTAAACTAATGCTGTTACTGTCGGTCAGTAATATAAACGGTCATTTTAACAAAAAGTACGAAAACATTCTTTTATTTCCTATGCGATCATATATATTGTCATATTGGCTATTGGGTAATGTTCAATATATGCCATTTTTTGTTGCAACTCTTAAAAAGAACTTTAAATGTTTCTATTTCAGAAAGCCCTTGCAATGGAGTAACTCAATGATTTCTCAAAGCTGTAACTATCCCAAAATGCAGAATTATTATCCAAGGCATAGGAGGGGTTCTCCCGAACTTAATAAAGCTGACAAACTGTCGTGATTAAAGGTATGAAATCTTTAAACAGATTAGATTCTATACGCAGAATCAATTCTTCTCAAATGTGACACAATTATTTACAAAAGAACACCCATCAGATGTTCTCATTCCCCACTTCCAAGGTATTCCTGATTCACAACTGACATACCCACGTGTATACAGACCACCATAAAAACACAATTTCATGCACATGTGTGGCCTGGGCATCATTTCGGTCAGTTTGTGACCAATAAGATAAGTATATTCATTAATTAGAAAGGCCAGTCAGGGTATAAATTTCGTTTTGATAAAGAGTTACAAGTTTATTTATTGTGCCGACCCATATCGCCATTCTCACCGTGGTCACAGCGGAAGTGAAAAGACCGATTAAAGCGGGGTTTACACGATATCCGGCATGGGGATCAGAAAAGTAAAACCCTAATGGATGAGGTGGTCAAATTCCGGAAAATAAGGATAATAGCTATGAGGTATTTGTTAGCGTTAACAAATTCGATTTATATTCATCATTTGGTAAAAAATGTAATGTAATATTCTTGGGTGAAATTATACATTATCAATAATTGCCGTTGTAGTATGCGAGTTAGTTTTACGGAAATCATTTACAGCAGTAAAAATTGACGAGTTGTGTCCCCTCATCCATACATGATAGAAAAATCCTCACCATGTATACCATTAGATGTTGGTGTTTGAAACCACACTTTATATTTTAAACTCAACTAAAAAATATAGAACAATATAACAAAAAAATGTGTAAAATACACAGAATTTTCCAGAATTGTACAGATTTATGATGCTTTAATTATTTTACATCAAAATGATATATCTAACGGGTTTAACAGGTACTTTAGTGAATAAGATACATGATTTGTTGGATAAATCATTTGTGGCATTTACGGCTTACCTTACCTTAATCCAAAGATTGATTGATATGTAAACGATTATCTATACATCATGAAATATCAAATTAAATAAAGTCATGTGCTCAATATAAATTCTGCAAGAAACATTTAATGGATGAACATTTTTTTTAGAGAATGTACCATTCATCATGAGCTGAGATTTTCAAATAGGAAGTCATACCCCTTGGAACAACCCATCATACATTTTAAGAAAATGTGATGAAAAATAAATGTGTAGGTTTAATATATCATGTAATTTTTGTTATAAAGAGCTAGCTAACTCCAGGTCAGTTTTCATACACTACCAATAAATATCTCTGTCCTAAGGATATTTAAGTTTTGAAAAATCCTATTTTAAAAGGAAGCATATTCACTATTTGTTTTTAAATATTTAGATTTATGAAATGAATAAATATCAAGATATTTATTTCATGACTTTTTGTTTGTTTGTTTTTTTTTTTTTTTTTTATGTTTAGTGTATATGTTCATTCAGACTTTTCATATGTAGTTTGGGGGTGAAAATAATGTATGCATTTAGCTTGACCAGAAATAACAAAGTTTTACCTCACATCAGTCAATATTTTGTTTCAAAAATTCTCAATAGACAAAACCATATTACGTATCAAATGGAAATTAAATAGCTCCATATAAGTTTATCAGATATCAACATTTATCATCTTGGACTTAAAATAACACCTTATTTCTATTGCTGTTGTGTACATGTTCTGTAAAACGAGCAGTTTACATTTCTGTATGTTGCTATTTTATCATTAATGTTTTACATTACATAACATCTTGCAATAAATATTATTTACATGGATGATATATATTTATCAATTATAACATGTATATCATGTATGTATTGTTTCACGCTGGTCATACAGGTAAAACATCGGTTATAGCCTTGGGTAATCTCAATACACTGACCAATTAGTGTACTCTACCTGGTCTGTGGTACAGATGTTCGGGTATAGCCTGAGAGAAAATCTCAATACGCTGACCAATGAATAAAGTATTCTGATCTCCCAGAGTTACTGCCCTTTGTTCTCACTTTGTCAGATGGTATAACGATAAGCTGGACAGTCGATTGGGGCTGAGAATGTGTGTAGAGGTATTCAGGTGTGTGAATATGATAGAGTTATAGGACATATTTCATCTGATATAGAAAATGACTTTTTATTTTATATGCAGATTAGATTATAGAAAATAATGCTGATCAATGATGATATTGATTATAAATATTTTCTGTACATGACATTTTTATTGAATATCTAAGGTACATGTAAATTAAATCTTATTCTTCAGTAAGAGAAAGCGGTGAAATTGGAGTTGACACAAAACTGATATACAATGTAGATCCATAAACAAGAGGCCTAAGAGCCTTAACGATTACCTGAGTCACAATTCTTCTCGAAACATGCCTTAAAAATGATTTTGTTAAAAAGGAAGATAAATTTACCTATATTGTACTAATAATGCAAATGTAAATTGTGCATAACATGAACTGCTGTTCCATGCTAAGGCGTCTTACCACCTTTGAATTAAAAGAAATTACACTTAAAATTGAATTTTCCTATGTCATATCAATATATAGTTGTAGTCGGAAATTATCTCCCTTGAAATTGGAGCTCTTCCTGTCGATATTGCAAGTTATCGACCTCGATTTTTCGGGGAAATTGTTTTTATTTTCAAGGCCACTTCTCAGAATCTCTATTACAAACTGGATGTTTTTCTTTGAATATTTGGTCATTGTTTAATTACGTAATCTTCTTGCAATATAACGAAAATCGTCCGTACTGACAGCAATGTAAGGTACTAGGGTACCCAACTTATCAATAGGAAATACCACACCGTCCTGCTTATTCTATAAAAAACATGTTGATCATCGGAACCAATCGTCTATTACAAATAGGATAACGTCATTGAGACCTTGACGCCCTTGACCAATGAAAAATCGGATATAAAAAGACAGGATTTCCGCCGTTTTTAAAGGATTTCCCGGCTATTTTTCGAAACGGTGTTGACGCAATTTTCTACCTGAGTATTCTGCACTGCGCCTGAAATTTATACTTCTCAGCTTAAGTACAAAGACGTGATAAAAGACCATTAAACCATTAATTTTTGCAATCAAAATTTATTTGAAAAAATAACGTGCTGCTTTGCACTGATAACAAAAACAATAATAATAATAAATGAAAAAATAGGAATAAAATATAACAGAAAAAGGTGATTACATGTTTAAAGCAATTATAAAATTACATACATGTATAAACCAAGATCCAAGTGAGATAAACAAATCTATGCATGCATTTGCATGTTAAACTTCAACAAAAACTTCATTTCAGTACATGTATTTAATGCAGTCATATATTTCACTTTCATATTAATTGAATGCCTTTTTTTTTATATCTGCAGGTATATCATTTTTACATCAACAAATAACTGGCAGTTACACAACCTCAATACAATATAGATTGGATTTTACTTAAGAAAGCATGCTGCATTTTTAATAGATACACACAGAAAACTACTTGGCACATGACTTTGAGTTATGGTCTGCACCATGACAGTTTGAACATTTCCTACTTTCTTTTGTTCTTTTCCCTTTTCCCTCGAGAAATAAGAGCCGATTTTGTTTCTCTAATACTTGCTTCAATGCAGGTAATCCTCTATGACATGATCCCCTAAAAAACTGCTTTGTTATATTATCATTGAGTTTTTCTAGTCCTTGTTGGCTAAATCTTACCATGGTTCCATGAGTTCTAATGATCTCTCCCACATGATATCTCAACAAGTGTATGTATGGGGTAATATCTCTTGTTTGATACACCTGTATATCAGTAAAATCATTCATCGAGGAACAGTGGAGCATGTTTTGAAATTTCAGTCAATTTGACCCATTTTGGCCCCGACGATCATTCTTTTCGGGCCAGCCGTGGTCAGTATGTGCATCTAATCAAACTGTCAGCTTATACTAATAATTTTAACCAAGTTTGAACTATTTCTGAAGGAAAATAAACAAATTATACTCAAAAATGTAATTTATCTGTATAAATGTGAGACTCTGGGGCCAGTAAATTTACAATATTGGTAAAGCTTATACAGGCTTTTCCATCCATGGAGAGTATTTGATTCTACTCTGCTGCTTAGGATTTGAGAAGAAGACCGTTGAAGTTTATATCAATTTGGCTCTTTTTGGCCCCGCCTCGCAGGCCCCTGGGAGCCAGGGGCCACATAATTTGCAATTTTGGTGACCTGAATTTGAGAAAAGAATACATGTTCTATGGAAATAGAAAGTGAAAGTGCTATCAACTGGAAACTGTTAATCTATATAGATAAAAAGTTTGTATGATAATAAGGAGTGGAAATATATCTCTGTAGAATGATTTTAGTTTATTTATAGAACCGAAATCAATTTACTTCAAAATATTCCCAAAAACTAAAAAAAACAACAAAACAAAACATAACAATACAAAAACTGATCAATAAAAAGATATATATATATATAAGAAGATGAAAGTGATAGATTAAGGAAAGCTTTTATCAAGATTGAATAAAAAAGTTGAGAGATATTTACTGTACCATAAGTATTACAGAGACATCTAAACCCAGAATCAGGATCCTATTCTCTAGAAATGCAAATTGAATCAGAGGAGTGAGTTAAATTTGATGTTTATATGTAAAATGATAAGACATACTTGTATAAAGATCTGAAATTTTCATTTAAAATGTTAATTTTACACTTTTGATACAACCGTCAAAAAATTTGACAGTTATATGATACTGTTTTCCGTTCGTCTACTATAAACTTCAGCCATTCAAGGCCAAGAGGCCATTTTCTTTTTACATTACAAATGTAATTAAACCACTGACACCAATACTACATAGTGTATATTGAAACTATTTTATATATACATTGGTAGTATATATAGAACTACATGTCTGTTAAATCTATAAGAGTTGTTAAGTTAAAACATATAATGTTAAATCATGCTTAAAGACGGTAAAATTATTTGAAACATTTTCAGTATTTGTTTTTGTTTTACTTCAATTAAAATTTTAATTTATTTTTAATATAAATGTATTGTTACTATATTCTCTGAAATAAATTGATATCAAGTTCAGTACGCAAATAACAAAAGGATGTTTAGTACATATCTTTGTCTCTCCAAAAGTCCTCACTTTTCTGACAGTGATGTCAGCAATATCATTTCACTTTAAGGTTCTGCATTTAGACTTGTTGCTTAAAGAGTGTAAGTCAAACATTTAATCCAACTTGGTGCATGCAATCGAAATTCCTTAATTTAACTTGAAATACTTTGTCGGTCACTACAAAACTTTTTCTGTATCATAGTAATTAAGACTCAAATTTGGAAAATGGGTAATTAGAAGAAAACATTTGGCTACTGTAATAAAAACCTCTGCTTTAAAGTACCTCTTGACATGAAG